CAGTTATCTAATAATATGCAGGACAGACAAATGGCTGGCACTATTGTAATTAGATAGATGTGAGGTGATAGAACCTTGGATTCTATCCAAGCTCTACACGGTTTTTTGGTTTTTGCAGGTCTACAAGGTCTAATTAAAATATTTTTAAATTAAAAAAATTAAAAAAAATTTTTTGGGGGTAATTAGGTTTATCTATTTATTATTATTATTTTTTAATGGGAGTGCCAGAGATTGAACCCAGGACCCTGTGCATGCTAAGCACTGCACTCTACCACTGAGCTATGCCCTCCCAGCTATAACGTTTAGAATTCTCATTTTTCTCAGATTACTACTACTATTATTCAGAAGTTTCAACCTGATGAATGCACCAAAGAAATTCTACATGGTAATTAATGTATTTTTATGTCACAATTAGAGGATTTTAGAGAAATGTAATTGTTAATAGACTTATTTTTAGAGCAGTTTCAGGTTCACAGCAAAATTAGAGCCAAAGGTACAGATGGCCTCTCTCTGCCCTGCCCCACCGTATGCATACCCTCGCTGCAACATCCGCAAGTACAGAGACACAACTGATGGACCTAGACTCGATCATGGTAATTTTTTTACCTCTTTGTTTTTCCTGATACTTTACTGACAGTTGAAATGTTAGTGCTCATCATGGTTCTATGTGAAATCAGATTATTTCACCACTGCTTAAATCACATGATTATTATCCCAGTGGTTTTGGTGGCCAAAGAAAGTGAGGCAATGCCTTGTTTGACGCTAAAAAAAGAATCTTAATCCTACCAAAACAAAAACACAGGAGAAAGTAGAAACTGACCTTGACATTTGATTTGCATATGGATAGCTTCCTGATAATTCTCTGGGAACTTTTGTGTTTGGTCTGCAGGGGGATGGGGTAGGCAATTTTCGTCATTAGTGATTTTTTAGAATGGGGCAAATTTTCAACTGGAAGAACATAGGACTCTGGCTTGAAGTCACCCTTTTACACTGAAAATAGGTTTCTGAGCTGGGATTGCTCAGTTCCAAGAACAGATTGTTGAAAAGATTCCCCAAGTCCCAATACTCTGAAATGACTCATGAGCTGGCAATATGTACTAAGCACCCACATGTAACTTCCATTCAAAAACTGATCATCACAAATTTTATTTTTTATTTGAAGGCTCATGAGAGAATTACACACTATCTTTATGGAGAAAATTAGAAATAGTTGGTTAAGTAGTAATTAGAACTAGTTAATTTGGAGGAATTTCTAACTGGTGCTAAGAATTTTAAATTTATTTACACCTCATTAAAAATCTTAGGAGGCTCACAATATTCTTTCCACAATTTACAAAGAATGAATTCAAGGCACAGAAATTCACCTCCACTAAAAAAATGTATAAAAAACAGGGTTCATCCTATCTCTAAACGTCATCACTCAGTTGCTCAAACCCAAAGCACAGGCATCATTCTTGTTTCTCTGTTTTCCTTCTATCCCACATCCAACCCATTATCAAGTTCTTTTAATTCTTTCTTCCAAAATATTCTGAGATTGATTACTTTTCACCTCTACTGCTTTACTTCTAGTTCTAGTTCTAGATGACATGTCCCCTCTGTTCTACTGAAACGGCCTCCCTACTTGACCCACTGCTTCCACTCTTATCCCCTCCCTGATGACAGTTTAGTCTCTGTTTAGTAGATAGAATGAACATGACATTTCCTAGTGAAAAATCCTCCGATAGATTCCCACCCTTACAATCAAGCTAAAACTCCTTATTTCCGTCCAGCACCGTACTTCATTTGGGCACAGCTTACCTCTCCTAATTAGCTTGCTGTCATTTTCTATTTAATTCACTTTCTTTAAACTTTAAACTGTTTTTCTCATTCTTCTTCAAAATTTATTCCTTTCTTAGGGCCTTTGTGCTATGTTGTTTCTTTTGTCTGGACTGCTTTTCCTTCAGCGTAGCTTTCTCACCTACTTCATTGAAGTCTTTTCAAATGTCATCTTTTGAGAGGCCTTCCCTGATCACATTACCTAAAATAAGTCATCTCCCACTTCTATGTATCTGGTTTATTTTTCCCCCATAGCATTTTACACTACTTGAACTTCTCTGATTGTGTGTATTTCTGTCTTCCCACCAGAATATAAATTCTCTGGCTGAGGACACATTAGTTGGTTTTTCTTTTAAATTTTTAATTTATTTTATTTTATATTTTGGGGGGGGGAGATCATTAGGTCTATTTATTTATTTAATATTATTTTTTTTTTAATGGAGATACTGGGGATTGAATTCAGGACCTTGTGCATGCTAAGCATGTGCTCTGCCACTGAGCTATACCCTCCGCCCAGTTGATTTGTTAATTGCTGTTATCTCTACAGCCTAGGCCTGACACATAGCAGGTTTTCAAACATTTGTTGAAGGAATGAACTTGTGTTTGTGATTTTGTTCCCCACCCCCCTCCATAGTTTTGTAGAAGAATAGCGAAAGAGTTACGGCATTTAGCGATGTGTATAAAATGTTGCAGAGACAATGGGGCGGCCAGTTGGTGACATGGTGATGCGGGTTGGTAAAAGAATCTACCAGAGGTAAAGTATGGGAATGGAGAGGAGTTTATTAGGGGTATGCTGTCATAGACATTAGCAGGCCCCACAGACAAGGGGTGCCTGTGTGAGTGCCGAGGTGAAGAACAAGGGAAGAGTTCAATAGTTATGCTGCTATAGGCAACAGCAGGTGCACAGGTCAGAGGTGCCTGCATGAACACCGAGGGCCGGTTGCTGGGGTCTTTTATAAGGTCGGGTCACAAGGTGCCTGATCCTCTTGTGCACAAGTCTCTGATTGTTTGCAGGTGAGGTGAGAGGTTTGGGGTCCCTGAAGGGCGGTGGGGTTTGACTCTGATAAGGTGGGCTAAAACAAGCCAGCATGAGCATTATTTGGGGCTATTAGTTTGTTAGGGGAAACACACCCAGTAAGAATGTACTTTATCTGTTGAGGGATCACTGTCAGACATCTGAGAGCCCAGGAATCGGGGTTGTTGAACTTTGAAGGAAGTCAGCGGGCCCAATAAGAAACAGCTATTTAAACTGAAAAACCTTATGTGAATGCTGGTTATTCATTTGTAATTATAACCTATTGGTTTCCTCTGGATTTCCTTTTTGTTTGTTTCTAAGTGATAGTTAACATTTATTTATTTATTTGTTTATTTGTTTATTTACTTACTTTTACTGAAGTACAGTCAGTTTACAATGTTGTATCAATTTCTGGTATACAGCATAATGTTTCAGTCATACATATATATACATATATTCCTTTTCATATTGTTTTTCTTTATAGGTAACTATAAGATATTGATACAGTTCTGTGCTATATAGTAGGTCCTTGTTTTTTACCTATTTTACATGTAGTAGTTAGTATCTGCAAATCTCAAACTGTCAATCAATCCCTTCCCACCTCCTTTCCCCCCGGTAACCAGAAGTTTGTTTTCTATGTCTATGAGTCTGTTTCTGTTTTGTAGGTAAGTTAATTTGTGTCTTTTTTTTTTTTTTTAGATTCCACACATAAGTGATGTCATACAGTGTTTTTCTTTCTCTCCCTGGCTTACTTCACTTAGAATGATGATCTCCAGGTCCATCCATGTTGCTGCAGGTGGATTTCCTCTTTATTCATGGGTCAGGGACAACATGAGAATAATAATTATTTAATTCAAATAAGTCTAATTTTAAAATATCTGTTGTTAAACCAAATATCTGTTGTTAGGTGTTAAGGAGGATTCAACAATGTGAAATTCTTAGTCTACTAATGCCAAGGAGGAGTTTAAATTTCTAGTGGGAGAGAATGAGACACGCATTAGGGAAACAACCAAAAAACATTTCAAAGACAACAAGGAAGTAAGCCACTGATAGCAATGAGAACAAAAGGAATTCAAGATATTGGAAAGATTCCTTTTTTAGTGGGTTTGATGAAGGAAGCAAATCTTAAAAGACTGATAGTGCTGGGAATTTGTGCTGTGGAAGAAGATGAATGTTCAAAATCTTTTAATTAGCCTGATAAATATCACTTTGGGTGTCCTTTTTATTGGAACTAATTGAGCATCAGGAGCAAATGAGTGGTTTCTTGGCTATATCTGTATCTATATCTATCTCTCCACCACCTGATTAACTGTATATTTCCGGTGAGGTAGTTTGTCTACATTCTCTTCTCCAATGTGCTAAACCTTACTAACCTACTTACTTATTAAATTTGATAATACTTATGAAGTGCTTAGTACTGGGCTGAGCGTTCACTCAATAAAACAATAAATATTATCATTCTTATGAGAAATGTAACTGATGGAATGAAACCAGCGAGATCTCCATGTTTTTTAGGGGAAGTAAGTGTAAACAGGTAAAGTAAAAGTCAGGCATGGTCTACACGCCTAAGTCAAACCGACAACATTACCAGCCGCACCCCTCATTCAGACCACCACCTTGGCTCCAGGGCTGCCCACCAGCGCAAGCCAGGTTAGGCTCCCGGAAGGTAAACACATCGAAAGGGGTGGGGCAGAAGGCGGGTTCGGGACGGGTGATTGGCCAACTAAAAGTGATTGGCAGCTGCCATGTCCACGTGCTTTGAGCTTCGAACCAGCTGTCGCGAGAATTCGATGTAAACAGACCGGTTCCCCTGCAGTCCGACTCCCAGCCTGAAAAGCCCGGGTGAGGTGCACAGGCTTCTGCAGCCCAATGCTTTTTGATGAGGCCACGAAGATGCTGTGTGCAAAGGAAAACCGACATGCTTGTAACTCCTCCCCACCTGCCTGCGTTCGCAACCGAACCTGACACTTCGGCTTCACCCGAACTTACATACTGTTTTGTTTTCCCTCGAGCCCCAGCGGATTGGATCATATCAGGAGGCGGGTCCGCCTCTTTTCCACTTGCTGGTTGGCCAAGCTGACCTCTAAGGGCGGTACCCGGCCTCGGCGAGTTTGCTTCTGGGATTGGCTAGAAAGGTAGTTCCGCTGAGGCGTGGTAGGAAGTGGTGACCGTCAATCACGAGGGGAGACTCCAAACAGTGAGCCTTGAGCTGGAGAGCAGCGTTTACCGGCGGGGCGGCCGGTGAGAGGGCTGGCGGTGCTGTGGCTTTGGGGAGGCTGTGCGAGGACGAGCGACTAGCACCGTGAGGGGAGAGGGCTTGGCTGGCAGGAATTCGACGAGTGAGAGCTGTCGGGGTCGGAGGGGGAGGGGAGACAGGGCCAGGGGCCAGAGGGCGGCCGGGGGCAGCGGTGGAGGTTAAGTGGGTAGCGCCGAGCTCCTGTCTTTCAGGAGAGTGGGGCCTTAGGGGCTGGCGAGGGCCGTCCTCAGGAGACAGGGCCCTTAAAGGACAGTTCTTGGGAGGCTGTGTTTTGGGAAATAAAGGGTGGAATGGAAATGAGAGGGCTGAGGGGCTGGGGGTGAAGGTACCCACTGAGGAAGGAGCACCTGGGCTAGTTGGGGCAAAGGGTGTTTAGGTTGTAGCAGATGGGACTTCATCAGTTTGCGAGTTTTCACATATCCCTGCTTAGAAGAGATGGTTTTAGGGGCTTTC